TGAACCATTACCATCTTCTGTTACCATCTTCTGTGAGCCATTACCATCTTCTGTGAGCCATTACCATCTTCTGTGAGCCATTACCATCTTCTGTGAGCCATTACCATCTTCTATGAGCCATTACCATCTCCTGTGAGCCATTACCATCTCCTGTGAGCCATTACCATCTTCTATGAACCATTACCATCTTCTATGAGCCACAATTACCCTTCAGCGAGTACCATCACATAGCGTTGAGCCTTCTATCACTTCTTGACCATATTTTTCAACCTCAGAGAACTTGATTTACTCCTGGTTGGGGGCGTAGAGGCTGGTGTTGTCTTGGCACTGTCCACTGACCCTCGTAGACTCATCTCCTTGGCACCACTGAAAGAGAGGGAGAGGTGTGAGAGGGAGTTGAGTGTGAGAGGGAGGTGAGAGAGGGATTTGTGTGTGAGAGGGAGGTGAGAGAGGGATTTGAGTGTGAGAGGGTTGTGTGAGAGAGGGATTTGTGTGTGAGAGATTTAGTTTAATATGAACACCTGGAATTATATACACTCACTCACTCACTCACTCACTCACTCACTCACTCACACACTCACTCACACTCACACACACACTCACATATGTTTGGTAAGGTCCTCAATATCCACCAACATAGAGTCTTGTTCCATATGTAGGTCGTCTCTCTCCATCAAAAAGGTCACCAGGTCCTCATTCAAACCTGTAACAAAAACAACAGGTCATATCAGGTCACATCAGGTCACATCAGGTCAATAAATAATAATATGAAACCTACATCATGTTAATAAAGTTACAAAGTCTTTTATTTAGATTTGTAATATATTAATAAGATACTAAAGTGTCTTATTACACTTATATAAGTTATTAAGTGTTTTATTTATGCCTAAAACAGATTAATAAGTCACTATATAATAATTCAAACCTAAACCATTAAACCTTTTCATCTAAACCTATTATAAATTGGTTATTTTTGGTGGTAATTTGGTGACAGTAATATACCCATTAGCCAGATTCCCTCAGACCCGGAATTGAAATTTCCTCGGAAAATCGTTCCCAAATCCGGAATTTTTCATGAAAATTCCGGATTTGGGAACGATTTTCCGAGGGTCACATTTTCCGGCAAATTCCGAGAAAATTTCCCCGATACCCAGAAAATTCCGGGGAATGGGGGATATTTTTTTCCGGGTTCGAGAGAGTCGTCCGGTTACCTGGAAATGTGTCATTCCTGGAAGTGTTCTGGACCGACTGTTCCAGCTAACGAGGATAATACTGTTGTTATTATTATTTATGTTATTCAATGAGTGAATCAGGTGTGTTAAGAGTTTATGTTGAACTATGAGGTATGTGGTAGAGGGTTAATGAACTATGCGGTATGAGGTTTACTCACTCTCAATCTGCGTGTGGAGGTCGTTAACTATCACCTGAAGTTGGGCCACGTTCATATCTGTCAGAATCTGTCTACTGATCCTTCTCTTGCTGTCAGGGAAGGGGACACCGATCTGAAACACACACGACGACTATTATGGTGTACTCTGGGGGTGTACTCTGGGGGTGTACTCAAGGGTGTTAACTTATTGTACTCAAGAGGATATGTCAACATACAGAAATAGTTAAGGAATTTTCTCTAAAGTTTAATATATAAAAATATCTTCAACATTTGAGTACAATGGCAAACTAATCGTACTCAAGGAGTTAATTAATTTTCCCTGGAGTTTGAGGAGAATATTAAGAGTACAATGTTACATATTTCTTAAACCTAACCGAATCTAACCTAACCAAAACCTAACCTAATATAACCCAATTTAATCTAACCTAAACAAAACCTAACCTAAACTACCCTAACGCTAATCTAACCCAACCTAATCTAACCTAACCTAACCAAACCTCACCTTGTTAAAACTGGCTCTAACAATATCAGCAATGGGGCTCTTCTTTTTACTCTGTTTCTCTATCTCCATCTGCATCCTGGCCATCTCCTTGGCCTGGGCGAGGGCCATGCGTGCCTCGGCCTGCAGCTGTGCTTGTCGGGCGAAGAAGTCGACCTCCTTCTCCCGCACGTCGGGTTCGGAGCGAGACGCACACGTTCTTAGGGCCTGGGGTGTAGAGGCCTGCCGATACCAAGTGACCATTATAGTATTTCTACCCTGACTTGACCCTTAAGCCACGCCCCTCTTGTATACTAACAGCTGATTGGTTCCCCTGTGTACCTGGGCCATAAGCCACGCCCCTTCGTCTATACTAACATCCGATTGGTTTCCCTGTGTACCTGGGCCATAAGCCACGCCCCTTCGTCTGTACTAACATCTGATTGGTTTCCCAGGTACTCAGGGGAACCAATCAGATGTTAGTATATAAGAGGGGTGTGTCTTATAGGTCAGGTTAGTGTGGTAAAGGTACAGCTACATACAGTGTGATGTTGGTGGTGATGGACTACAGTAGGTTCAAACTGAGACCAATTATGAGACATTTTAACCTTTATTGATCACCTGAGGTAGTCCCCCCCATGTGCTGACCTGAGGATTAGTCCACCAAGAGCTGACCTGAGGATTAGTCCACCAAGTGCTGACCTGAGGATTAGTCCACCAAGTGTGTGTCAGAGTACAGAAGACTTTTGCCATTCACAGGTTTTGTGATTCGTGATTTCGATGATTTGGATTAACCAGATGGTGACTATGGTGGCTAGCTTGTGAGCCTTTTACCACAGGACAAGGAATCACTCCACACAGCATCTGGTGTTGTACTCTCAAGACTTTATTGTTTCTGTGTGAAAAATAGCCCCTAAAAGACTGGCTAGTGTCGGTGCTAGTGATGCTAGTGGGGTGAAATGTAAAAGGCACAAGTCAGTGATGAACCTGACAAAGAAAGTTGTATTATTAGACAAGATATAAGAGGTGACCAGTGTTGCCATGGCTGGTCAGTTGTTTGGTATACTGTACAGTGATGGACTAAAGGTAGAATAAGTTGGTATTTGTGGTCGAGCCAATTACCGCCATTCCTTGGAACCTAACCTAACCCTTGTGAATGGCAAGGGTCTACTGTAGAGAGTGTGTGTGTGTGTGTGTGTGAGTGTGTTGTGTGTGTGTGTGTGTGTGTGTGTGTGTGTGTGTGTGTGTATGTCATCTCACCTTACTGTTGCCAGAAGAAGTGTCAGTATCCCGGTCTTGGGTACTCTCAGTATCAGAACACTGGCTCTCACAGTCGCTGGCCGTCTCGTTCATAAAGCAGATCTGAAGGTTCATTCCTGACAACACAACAAGCAATATATTATTAATTTGCTATATAATAAAGAAATATATTACTATATCATGATACAGTATATATAACTTTCTATTGAGTAAATGTTTTATTACAGCGAGTTCTGCTATAGCTTGTTTTGATAGCAATTTGCTCTACTGATTTATGAATTAGGAGCGATATTTGTATAACGCGGCTTGTTTGCTATAACGCGATTTTTGCTTACTATTTCTCCAATTTTGTGGTATTAACTGTGAATATGGTAAAGAAGAATATCTCCAAAAAACGTTCTGGTGATAGAATTCGGTGATGATCGTAAAAGAAAGGATATAACACTTGAAGAGAAGCTCGATGTTTCAACAACCTCAAATCACCCTTCTCCCCCATCAAGTTACATTCATATTTTTTCAAGGTAAAGTGTTACATTTACTGTATGATTTCATTATTAGATATGAATGTAACATTTATTTAGACTGTGCTATCCTTTGTGTTAGGCTAACTACTAAATTTTTTCGATTTCAAGTAATCTGCACCTAACCCTATTTTCTCCATAAGCCCTGTTATTTCTATTACGCGATTTTCTATAACACGATATTTTACAAGAACACAATTATCGCGTTATAGCAGAACTTCTATACTTGCATAATAAAGTTTCAAAGCCACAAACAGAGATCAAGAGACAGACAGCTCACCACTCTGGAGTCGTGAGTGCAGTGAAGGTTTACGATGAGGCTTGTCAACAACTTGGTCTTCATCAAACCCCATAGCAAGTTTCCTGCGGATCTCCTCCCGATCGTTGCGTCGCTGCGGGAAAACAAAGCAATTAATTATGAGGCACAATCTAACGTGACAACATGTGGCCTTATGGTACAAGAATATACAGTAGTTAAGAAAATATAGTAAATAATTAAGAATATACAGGAATTAATTAAGAATATAAGAAAATAAGGAGTCTGCAATAAGCCGGTTGGCCTGTTCATGGCAGCTCCTGTCGAGAGTTACTCCCACTCTCTATCATCCATGAATCTATCTAGCCTCCTTTTAAAACTTTCCAGCGTTCCAGCACTTACTGCAAAGTTGCTAAGCTTGTTCCACTCGTCCACCGCCCTATTTTTGAACCAGTTCCTTCCTATCTCCCTCCTAAACTTATCCAACTTAAATCCGTTGCTCCGAGTCCTATCCTGCTGGGATATTATAAGAACTTTATCTATATCCCCTTTATTGATTCCTTTCACCCACTTAAATACTTCTATCATATCTCCCCGCACTCTTCGTCTTTCTAGGGAATGCAAGTTAAGTTTCTTTAACCTATCTTGATATGGAAGGTTTCTAAGTCCCGGAATCATTTTCATCATTCTTCGCTGCACCGACTCTAGTGAATTGATATCCATTCTATAATAAGGGCACCAGAACTGAACCACATAATCGAGGTGCGGCCTGACTCGCGCAAGATATAGTTGCAATAAGATCTCTGCACTCTTATTGCTTACACTTCTAGATATAAAACCTAATACAGGCAGTCCCCGACTTATGACGAGGTTAGGGACCCAAATCCAGGTCGTAAGTGGAAAATGCTTAAATAATACATATAAAATCTAAAATGGGTGTCTTTTCTTCTCAGCTCCACAAAACTCTAACTTTTAAGCTTGCCAGATATTTTAAAGTGAATTACAAAAGAAAATTTTGTCAGTACACAGCGCAATCACTGACGTTGGGACTCGAAAACACGTAATTTGAAAATTTTTTGGTACGACTGAGGCGGTCGTATGTCTGGGCTAAAGCTTATCCCAGAACACTAACAATAGCCTGGGTTAAAGCTTATCCCAGAACACTAACAATAGCCTGGGTTAAAAGCTTATCCCAGAGCACTAACAATAGCCTGGATTAAAGCACCACATTTACCCTGGCTGGATGGTTATAAAACGTTCTCTCGGGTTGTTCGTCATAATCCTCCGACCTTATGACTCGGATAAACTTCTCGACGATATCCTCCTCTTCATCGGCTCTGTTGACGTACGACAGCCAGCGCTTCTTGTTGTCGACGAGGACCGGCCATTTGAGCTGCTCCAAGAGGGTCGGGGGAGGACCTCTGGCCTTGGACGACGTGCCTTCATTACCCTCGGCCCGACCGTCGTTCCATAACAGCTTAGACACTCGGCCAGATTGACTCTTAAGAGACGTAAACACCCGGGTCGATACTTTGGTCGTGTGGGATTTAATGGACTGGAGGTTGACCGAGGAGAGGCCGGGAGGTAGAGAGAGACTGAGGCCGGGAGGTAGGAGTGACAGTGTCTGAGGTAGAGAGGCGTCATCTCTCGTACCTTGGGGCCTCCTGTAGCTTCCAAACATATTGGTCGACTGTATCACAACACTGTAATAACTGTACTGTAATAACTGTACTGTAACACTGTACTGTAATAACTGTACTGTAACACTGTACTACACTGTAATAACTGTACTGTAACACTGTACTACACTGTAATAACTGTACTGTATTGTAATAACTATACTGTACTATAATAACTATACTATACTGTACTGTAACACTATACTGTACTGTAACACTGTACTGTACTGTAATAACTATACTATACTGTAAATACTGTACTGTAACACTGTACTGTACTGTAATAACTGTACCAACACCAATATTATCTCATTACAGTAAACATTTTCTGTACCTTGCTAGAATTACATTATACTGTACTACCAAAACACTAGAATTACATAACTAACTCCTTCCTGTAACTACACAACTAACTGTTCTGTAACTGTTCTGATTAATAACAGAGAACATTTTACACCATAACAAATAGTGAACTGTTATAGGTGAACAATTAAACGTTCACTTCATAATGAACTACTAAATCATACTTAAACATTCAAAGTTAAAACTACACATTAACTGTATTTAATTATCAAACTAAACTAACCTAACCTAACCTAACCTAACCAATAACCTAACCTAACCTAACCTAACCTAACCTAACCTAACCTAACCTAACCAATCCTAACCTAACCTACAAATGGACAGTGATAACTTAAAATTCTCTGGATGAACAAAATACAATAACTACACCTGAACAAATATATATCTTATTAGTTCAAAGTGTTCACCATGTTCTAGAGATAATCTGAAGAACAAATTAACACGTGTATCCAGTTCTTCATAATTCACTAAGTTATTTTCAACATTATTTAACATTTATCAGATGTAATTACTTAAAGGATAAATGTTATAGATGTTATTTAAGAACTCAGGTAATGTTCACTTCACTGTTCATCAATAACTCTTGAGGTAATGTTCACTGTTCTCCACAATAACTCTTGAGGTAATGTTCACTGTTCTACACAATAACTCTTGAGGTAATGTTCACTGTTCTCCACAATAACTCTTGAGGTAATGTTCACTGTTCTTCATCAATAACTCTTGAGGTAATGTTCACTGTTCATCAATAACTCTTGAGGTAATGTTCACTGTTCTCCACAATAACTCATTAAATGTTCACAATAACAGCCCCACAAGTGTTCACAATACCCGGATGATGAACACAATAGTGAACACATGAGGTGGTCTAGTGGGGGTTCCTTACACCTGCAGTTCAGATGCCAATTAGTTTTTTAATTATAATTTACCATTTAACTTAAATATTTAATTATCTTATAAATAATAATTAAATCATTTATTTATTTATATATATTAAGAAATAAATTATATAAGATAAGATATATATAAAATTTACTTAGATATTTGATATAAAATTAAATATATGTAGGTACCCACAGAGCAATGTTGCCACGTCTACTACCCTGACCACTGTTGCCACGTCTACTACCCTGCCCAGGGAGGGAGGGAGAGAAGGAGAGGAGGGAGGGAGGGAGAGAGGGAGAGAAGGGAGGGAGGGAGAGAAGGGAGAGAAGGGAGAGAGGGAGAGAAGGGAGAGAGGGAGAGAGGGAGAGAAGGGAGGGAGAGAAGGGAGAGAGGGAGAGAGGGAGAGAAGGAGAGAAGGGAGAGAGCCTCAGATGGACTCAAGAACAACACACTCACATAGTCAACCACAACACACTTGAACTAACACACTCAACCATATTTTCCCAGATATAAGACACACTTACATAGTTAACGACGATGGACTTGACATTCTCGAGGGTCTCACCTTCGTCGTAGGTAAGTGTGTATAAGTCATTAACATAAATACTCTCGACCTTATACTGTCTCTTGTACTTGGGGAAGATGGAAGCTTTAACTACCACTTGAGATGGTTGTGGTGGTAAGCTGTGGTGGTAAGCTGTGGTGGCCAGGTGCTTCTGAGGGGCCATATTGAGGCTTAGAAGCTGGTCCAGGTTATCCTTGAGGGGAGTTGTGGTGGACATGTTTAGTAACTGGCCAAGGTCATCCTCGAGGGACGTGGTGGAGGGTGTGGTGGCCATGTTCAGTAACTGGCCAAGGTCATCCTCGAGGGGTGTGAGGGGGGTGGTGGTGGCCATGTTCAGTAACTGGCCAAGGTCATCCTCGAGGGGTGTGGTGGAGGCTGTGGTGGCCATGTTTAGTAACTGGCCAAGGTCATCCTCGAGGGTGTGGTGGTGACAGGTGTGGTTGTTGTTACGATACTACAGGCCCACACTTAACGCTCTTAAATCCGCACCAAGGAAAGGATTCCACCTTCACTTATAAAACACTACAGCTCATTACTTAACAGCCCTACACACACTATTAAACCTACTTAACGTACTTACCAAATTACTTATGCTTATTAAACCCTCGGATATTGGTTAAAACAATGCAAAAATGATTTAAAACTAAGTCAACCGATTTGTTTTAACATAAAGTCTTGATTTATTTTCTACAAGTGTTTACAGGTGTTTTAAGCGCACTTGTCATCCATTTCCTTAAATAACAAAATATTGATTTAATATTCATAAATTATCCAAATTTAAACATAATTTGGTTTATTTTCTAGTCTGGAGGTGTCCACAGAGTGTTCATAAAGTGTTCATAAGTGTTCACAGGTGTCCACAGGTGTTCATAGATGTTCATAAGTGTTCTGGGTGTCCACAGGTGTTCATAGATGTTCGCAAGTGTTTCACGGGTACTACGGTGCTACATAGATGTTCGCAAAGGTGTTCACAGTGTTATAGATGTTCATAAGTGTTCACAAAGTGTCCTAGGTGTTCATAGATGTTCATAAGTGTTCTGGAGTGTCACAGGTGTTCATAAGTGTTCACAGAGTGTCACAGGTGTTCATAGATGTTCATAAGTCATGGTATTACAGGTGTTCCATGAGTCATTCACAGGTGTTCATAAGTGTTCACAGGTGTTCATAGATGTTCACAGGTGTCCACAGGTGTTCATAGATGTTCATAAGTGTTCACAGGTGTTCATAGATGTTCATAAGTGTTCACAGGTGTTCATAAATGTTCATAAGTGTTCACAGGTGTCCACAGGTGTTCATAGATGTTCATAAGTGTTCACAGGTGTCCACAGGTGTTCATAGATGTTCATAAGTGTTCACAGGTGTTCATAGATGTTCATAAGTGTTCACAGGTGTTCATAGATGTTCATAAGTGTTCACAGGTGTTCACAGGTGTTCATAGATGTTCATAAGTGTTCACAGGTGTCCACAGGTGTTCATAGATGTTCATAAGTGTTCACAGGTGTTCATAGATGTTCATAAGTGTTCATAAGTGTCCACAGGTGTTCATAGATGTTCATAAGTGTTCACAGGTGTCCACAGGTGTTCATAAGTGTTCACAGGTGTTCAATATAACATGAACACCAAAATCTGGTCCACATATTAAACCAATTTCAGTAAAAATCTGTCAAAAAACCAACAACTTCGTCCACTATACACGTCACCAAAACCAAATCCTGGTTTAAGATAATTCACGAGGTTTTAACAGGGTTTATTTCACTGTTTTATCAAGTTTTAAGTAAACCAACACCATCTTGCTTACAGCCAGGGGGGAAAACTTGACCAAAATTACCACCAAATCCTCGAAATTTCACCACATTCACCACATTCTTACACCACTAAATATCCACACAGGTGTTTTTTTTCAGGTTTATGTGATTATGGATGGTTTAGTGAGGTTTAATAAGTGTTTTAAGTGAGAGGAGAAGGTTTATATGAACACACAGTAGAGACGAGAGAATAAAACTGTTATATTGTTCAATGTTTCCACGCTTAGCTGGTGACCCCGAGTGCTATGACGTCACGACCGCTCTCAAACCTATCCAATAAAAACATAACAAATTTGATCTAATTCCTATAATATAAACCAATTAACTAATTATTTAAACCATTAAATAAAGGTATTAAATATTACCACAACCTTAGGAATATATAATAACCCAAAATTGTTAAATATTATTAAAGAATTTTATATAAATGAAGACATGACGCAAAGACCCGAACACCGTCATAAGTTATTACCCAATCAGAGCAAGTTTCCCATTCTCAACTGATCGCTGATTGGTTGACGACGCCTCAACTTTCAATAGGTTGTTTATCTTGGATTCTTGTGGTTAACTATTTGATGACCAATGAATTAACCCTATTAATAACACCTCCTACTGTATAACACCACCATATAACACCATATAACACCATTTAACACCACATAACGCCATATAACACCACATAACACCACTATAGCGCCACTTACCCGCCTTTCCTCCTCTTTAGTGGCCTTTAAGTGCGCCTCTATAGCGTCCCAGTCTATCTTGGGCATGGCAGTTTCCATCGTGTACACATCGAACTCT